GCCCCGGCGTCCCCCGCCCACCCTCCTCCCCTGGTGCCTCCGGACATACTTGTCTCAGCCCCGTCCATCCGCAGCCCTCACCCTCCATCTGTGGCTGTAGAGGACTCATCCAGTCAGTGCCCCGTCTCTCGCCCACATGGGTCCCGTGTTCACCATCGGGCGTGTGCGTCTCCTCCCTATGTTCCCACCCCCCTGTACCACACCCCCCCCACGGGCTCAGGAAGTCCGTCCGGGCCTCACTGCCCGCCACACCCCCTGTCCCCGCAGGGCCGAAAGTGGTGGATGGGCGCTGAGGAACCCTGGCAGACGCTGGCCTGCTGTATGGAGGTGGCGAACGCCGTGCGCTGCTCTGACCCAGCTGCCTATGTCTCCCACCTCCCCGTCCACCAGGTGAGCCCGTGGGGTGGGCCCCCGAGGCCATGCCGTGCACTTGGTCTGGGGCTCGCCTTGAGGTTGTGAGATTTCACCTTCTCTTGTGGTGTCTTTTGGAGGTGGCCCTAGAGGGTCCAGGAACCGTGGCTCCTGGCCTTTCCTGGGAGCGTGCAGGGCTCAGGTGCACTTGGCTGGGCGTGCACAGCCTTAGGAACAGCTCGACCTGGGGGGTAGTTTGGGGCCCCACACGTCTCTGCCTCTCTTGAGTCTCCATCTCCCATTTGCGGCCCCTCCCTCAGGACGGCTCTTGCAACGGCCTACAGCATTATGCTGCCCTGGGCCGCGACAGCGTGGGCGCCGCCTCAGTCAACCTGGAGCCCTCGGATGTGCCGCAGGACGTGTACAGCGGTGTGGCTGCGCAGGTAGGGCGTGCCCTGTTACCTGCTGCCCGGGGGCATCTGGGTGTGGGGGCAGTGTGGGCCCTGAGTCTCGGCCCCAGGTGCCCTCACTTTGGCCTGTCCTGAGGATGTGGTGGGGCTGGGGCAGGGCCTTCCCAGGCAGATGTTGCCCGAGGGCTTCATGGGTGCTTGGTGGCCCCTGGGCTGCTGGCAGGGCTGACTCGAGCACCTGGCCTCCCGTGGTGCAGGTGGAGGTGTTCCGCAGGCAGGACGCCCAGCGGGGCACGCGGGTGGCACAGATGCTGGAAGGCTTCATCACCCGCAAGGTGGTGAAGCAGACGGTGATGACTGTGGTGTACGGGGTCACCCGCTACGGCGGGCGTCTGCAGATTGAGAAGCGCCTCCGGGAGCTGACCGACTTTCCCCAGGTGCGCCAGGCCTGTAGCGCTTGGAACATGTTGGTTTCGCTGCCATGTAAAAGTCGGACGATTTTGCCGCAGACCCAGCCTCGCAGCAGAAGACCCAGCTGGTCCCCCAGACCACTGCCTGCCTGCTAGGGCTTGGGCATTTCCCTCCGACTGTGGGAGTGTCAGGCCCCGTCCCTGCCGGGCCCTGGGCCTCAGTTGCTCTGAAATGGGGGGGAGTAGGGCGTGAACGGGCCAGCCGCTGAGGACCCGCACCTGCCGCCCGTCTTCTGCAGGAGTTCGTGTGGGAGGCCTCCCACTACCTCGTACGCCAGGTCTTCAAGAGTCTACAGGAGATGTTCTCAGGGACCCGGGCCATCCAGGTACGTCCTGTGCTGTCCCCGCTCGGCCAGGGCTCTCCGAGCAAGTGGATGGGAGCCCCGGCTTGAGCCCCCAGCCCTGAGACGGCCTGTGTCCCACAGCACTGGCTGACCGAGAGCGCCCGCCTCATCTCCCACATGGGCTCCGTGGTGGAGTGGGTCACACCCCTGGGTATCCCCATCATCCAGCCCTACCGCCTGGAGCTCAAGGTCAAGGTCAGTGTACCTCTCCCTCCCGTCCCAGTGTACCACCCCATCCCGTCCCAGTATACCACCATCCCAGTGTACCCCCCCATCCCGTCCCAGTATACCACCATCCCAGTGTACCCCCATCCCAGTGTACCCCGTCCTAGTGTAACCGGTCCCAGTATGCCACCCCGTCTCATCCCAGTGTGCCCTTCCCAGTGTACCACCCCATCCCATCCCAGTGTACCCCCGTCCCAGTGTACCACCCCATCCCATCCCAGTGTACCCCCGTCCCAGTGTACCACCCCATCCCATCTCAGTGTACCCCCGTCCCAGTGTACCCCCATCCCAGTGTACCACCCCATCCCATCCCAGTGTACCCCCGTCCCAGTGTACCACCCCATCCCATCCCAGTGTACCCCCGTCCCAGTGTACCACCCCATCCCATCTCAGTGTACCCCCGTCCCAGTGTACCCCCGTCCCAGTGTACCACCCCAACCCATCCAAGTGTACCCCCATCCCAGTGTATCACCCCATACTGTCCCAGTGTACCCCCATCCCAGTGTACCACCTCATCCCATCCCAGTGTACCCCCATCCCAGTGTACCCCCATCCCAGTGTACCACCCCATACTGTCCCAGTGTACCCCCGTCCCAGTGTATCCCCATCCCAGTGTACCCCATCCCAGTGTACCACCACTGTGCCAGGCCTCGGGCGGGACTCACCGCTCCTTCCCTTTTTAGCAAGTACGAGGTGGAATTCAGACCATCACCTACACCCACAATGGAGACATCAGCCAGTGAGTGGGGGGCCCGGGCTGGGGGGCTGGCTGGGGGAGCAGCCACAGTGGAGACAGTGGCCAGTGAGGGGCGTCTCTGGGCTGGGAGTGCATTCTGGCCCCCACCCGGCACCTGTCCTGTTCCTAGGAAGCCCAACACGCGTAAGCAGAAGAACGGGTTCCCGCCGAACTTCATCCACTCGCTGGACTCCTCGCATATGATGCTCACTGCCCTGCACTGCTACAGGTGGGCATCTCCAGGTGGCAGGGGTGCTGCTCGCCTCCCAGGGTCCTCTGTTCTGGCTACCAGGGCACAGCTGGCAAGGCAGGGTCCAGCAAGGGACAGTGCTGGGTGCAGGATCTGGGCAGAGTGGATCTGCTGTGTTTGTGGGGCCTCTGTTCCCCGAACATGAAGGTGGTCCTGTCAGCTCCCGCCACCCCCGTGGCCTGACGGGGAGAGCCAAGCATGGGCTCTGCCTCTTTGTGGTGGGCATTTCTTGGTGAGCACCACAGTGTGTGGTTAGATCTGGGGCACGTGGAGGTCGTCCCAGCAGCATCTACCGGCCACGGGAGCTGAGAACACCCGGGACGTGGGGTGGTGGCCCTGGCAGGAGGGGATAACGCAGCTGCCCTCGAAGCTGAGGCTCCCACAGCAGCCTGGGGGGCAGCAGGTGTGGGGCAGCGCGGCTTCCGAGCACATTTCCTCGGCCTGTGCTGAAGCCAAACCCAGGATGTTTGGGCGAGGCCTGGAGCAGGGTGGGCTTCCCTGGACCTTGAGTGGAGAGGGCTGAGCACAGGGCCGGGATGCTCGTCGCGGGGCGGCCCTGTGGGCTCCCTTCCCTTCAGGAGCCCTCCGCTCTGCCGCAGGAAGGGCCTGACCTTCGTCTCTGTGCACGACTGTTACTGGACCCACGCAGCTGATGTCGCCGTCATGAACCAGGTGCCCCCGTCTGAGCCTTAGTGCATCCATGGGTGGGGCCTGGCACACCGGGGCATTGGGTAGGGGTGGTGCCCAGACCCTGCCTGATCACGCACAGGGATTCTCTCACTCCTGCCCAGGTGTGCCGGGAGCAGTTTGTCCGCTTGCACAGTGAACCCATCCTGGAGGACCTGTCCCGGTTCCTGGTCAGCCGCTTCTGCCCTAAGTAAGGCACTCCCTTACCTAACTACCCTACCTGGACACCCCCCCCCAAAACCTGGCCTCAGCCTCACCCCACCCTGCTTCCAGCCCCAGACCCCGGAAGATCTCCCAGAGCTGGGAGGCCCGCCAGCTGAAGGAGACCCTGCAGGCAGTGCCCAAGCCAGGTAGGCGGTGGACGGCCTTTCAAGGGCGCCTCTAACAGCGGGCCAGGGCCGGGCCTTCGTGCCACCCACGCTGTCCGCTCTGCTCACTCCGCAGGGGCCTTCGACCTGGAGCGGGTGAAGCATTCCACCTACTTTTTCAGCTGACACCCGGCGGGTCTTGTGCCAGTGTGTAAATAAAGCTCTGTTGCCACCTCTAGGAACTGTTTTCAGTGAGGATGTGCGTCCCGAGCAATCATACGTGGCCGGGGTGGGCGCCAATGCTGTCGTTTATTGCGCGGAATGGAGTGTGGGGGTTAATGGGGCGTGGGGGCCACGGTGGGGGCACAGCTGCCTCGGCTCTTCAGTACATTCATCACGGCGGCGGGACCCCAGCCTCGCCCCCGTGCCCTGCGCAGCCAGGCTCGCCCCTCGGTGCCGGTGCTGGAGGGAGCCGGGGGTGCTGCTCCCAGAGGTCACCGAGCGCGGCTTCCGAGCACATTTCCTCGGCCTGTG